CTACACCTGCTTTACAGCTATTTATAATAGAACTGAAGTGTGATCACATACGTGTGTGTTCATTTCATGGTGGTTTGCACATCACGCTGGGACATCTCTCAGGTTAGAGGGATAGTATTTCACTCTGCAAGCTGATCTACACACACTATTGCTCTGATGCTATTGTATTGTATATGAGAGATTAATATTTTGTGTGGTTTTTGGCAAAAACCCAAGCATATCATATGAATAAAATACTATGCAGGACTTGTGGTTTATCGAGCATGTAATATCTTTCATATCTATTACTAAACTGATGTGTGAGAAGTTGTAGTGGTATCAATCAGACACTAGACAGCAAATCAAAATATTTGCCACAATAAACAAGGTAACTGCTAAGATATAGTTTATCTTATGAATGAACTAATACACACAAAATGTAGATATGTGCATGTTCAGACAGTTTAAAAGACATCTCTGTGATAAAGGTGCAATTTAACACTTTTTATTTCACACTCACTTTTACACTTATTTTATTACTTTTCACAGCATATCTTGCTACTTCAACAACTTAAAATCACGAGTAAATAATGAGAAGTAAACTGTCTGAAATTAAAAAAAAATCCCCATTAATTATTATAAACAAATAATCCTCATACTTTCTTGCATGATCATTTTGTTATGCGAGTGGTCAAAAGGTGAAAAGGTTAGTGAGATTCTTCTAAGGCCAGAGTTTGGAGAATGGAGCCGCTGTGGTTTGTCCAGCTTAAGTTGTCCATAGCTCTGTCAAGTTACTGTTCTCCTCTTTTTTTACCTCTAATTGAATGTCACTTGCTTTCTGAAATGCACCAAATTATATAATGAGGTCATTTGCATAGCGCTGAGATTGGCTGACCTTTGCTTTTGCCAATAATTACAGCAGAGTTGTCTAAGACAGTCGACAGAGATGGTGCAAAAAAAGACAACTTCCCGCTCAGAAAGGTTAGCGGAGAGTTTGGTGTTGGACTTTGCGAAATGTCATTAGAATTTTCTTGGAGTATGCTCAAAATTAGCAAGTGACAAAGATCAGTAATGCAGAAATATTGTCTGGAAAAGCAACGAGAACTGTGCTTGGTTAAAAATACAAGTGCGATTATTTCCCAGTAATTGCATTGGAGAGGTTGTTTGCATACAAGCATGTTGCATTATGCATTAATTACTGTGTATGCAAGCAATGGAAAGCTCACAGATGCAGGATGGTACATGCACGCTGCATCATCAAGACCTTTTGATGGTGATGCCGGAACTTTCACATGGTTTTGAGCCTCTGTGCCCAGTGTGAGCACATGGCATATGAACTGGGATGCTCTGGCCAGGCTCTGCCAACCCAGCAGTGCTATTCCACCGACGCCTACCAGCACTGTAGGCAGAGCCTGTGCTGACCGGCCGTCATCGAAAGTACAGAACATATCACCTACATCACAGCAACTCATACTGTATACTACTGTTCAAAAGTTTGGAGTCAGTAAGACTAGATTTTTTATTATATTATTATTATTATTTTATTTTACATTTTTATTCAGCAAGGATGCATTAAATTGATCAAAAGTTACAGTAAAGACATTTATAATGTTGCAAAAGATTTATGTTTTAAATATGTGATGTTCTTTTGAACTCTATATTAATCAAATTTTCAACATTGTTGATAATAAATGTTTCTTGAGCAGCAAATCAGCATATTAGAATGATTTCTGAAAGATCTTGTGACACTAGACTGGAGTAATGATGCTGAAAAATCAGCATTGCATCACAGGAATAAATTAAATGTTAACATATATTCAAATAGAAAACACTTATTTTAAATTGTAATTTTAAAATAAATTTGTTGTAAATTTAAAATAAATACAGATTTCAAGATGGCGCCGCAAATGGCTGCCTCGGTGTGGAGCTCTCCAGTTGTTTTAATGTTTTTGTTAGTTTTTTTCTAGTTTTACCAGGGATGAACTGCTGAATATATACGGCAGAACACACCACACAATCTTCTACCGGTTTTTGATTACTCTGACATTTTGCTGAACATAGCAGCAGCGTTGTTCAAGCGTTTTAAGATGCGCAAGCCTGGGAAGTGAGCTGGCGCACTCGTCAAGCTCCGACAGCGCGGCTTTAGAACGGAGCAGCCTAGCATCAATCTGGTGAATCTTCGCTTTCAACCCAACAAAACAGACAAACTTATTCTGCTCTCCCAAATAAATAAGGACTTTTCAAACCTTGCGCTGCTTTGTGTTTCACGGAATTAAGCCATTCCGGAGAGCACGTTACATCTGCCGGGCTTCCAGCTGTTCAGAGCGGATCGCGATGCAGAATCAACAGAAAAATCGCGTGGAGGTGGGACATGCCTCTACATCAACGAAAGGTGGTGTACAGATGTAACAGTGTTGAAGAAGATGTCCTGTCCTGATCTAGAAGCACTCTTCATCAACTGTAAGCTGTTGACAAGTGCTTACATTCCGCCGCAAGTGTATGTGATTGCGGTGCTACAACAGCTGGCTGATCAGTTCACAGACACAGAGCAACAACACCCGGACTCTGTTATAATCATTCTTGGGAACTTTAATAAAGCAAACCTCTCACATGAACTGCCAAAATACAGTGCGTTACATGTCCTACCAGAGATTGTAATATACTGGACCACTGTTACACCACAATAAAGGATGCATATCAAAGAGTTTTGGGGCTCTCTGATCACTCTCTGGTTCATTATACTGATCTACAGGCAGAAACTGAAATCAGCTAAACCTGTAATAAGGACTGTAAAAGCAGAGTGGGATTTACAAGCCTGCTTCGACTGCACTGATTAGAGTGTTTTTGAAGCTGCTGCCACCGATCTGGATGAGCTCACAGATTCTGTAACATCATATATGTTTCGGTGAGGATATTTGCATCCCTACCAGGACTCGATTAACTTACAACAACGACAAACCGTGGTTCACTGCAAAACTCAGACAGTTCCGTCAGGCCAAAGAAGATGCCTACAGGAATGGGAACAGAGTCTTGTACAAACAGGCCAAAAACACACTGACAAAAGGAGATCAGAGTGGCTAAGAGGAACTGCTCCGAAAATCTGAGAAACCAGTTTTCTGCCAATGACCCTGCAACAGTTTGGAAAGGACTGAAAGACATCACCAACTACGCACCAAGACCCCAGCACTGTGGAGAATCAACAACTGGCCAAGGATTTGAGTTTTATTGCAGGTTTGAAAAACCCTGTCTCATACCCCCACCCATTCTGATCTTCACTCCATGGATCTATTAACACCTCCG